CCGTAGCACCGTCGCAGATCGAGAGCTCGACAACATGTTGAGCGGCCGGCCTTCTCACAGGTTGATTTCTCGGTCCAGCGACCTACCTGCAGGCCGTGAACGGGATACTACACGGAAGGCTTGATCACTCCGCTGGAGTAATTGCCAACGGCTGCGGTGCGGACATTGGCTATACGACTCACCCATGTTACCGCTTCCCTTAGTTTCTCAGACTTCTCACGAATGATCGTTTTCGTTTGTTGTTTACCGCTTGCGTCACTGCTACTTGTTGATACTCCCTGTATATTACCTCACCTCCGATTCTCGTATCTTGAATCGCGTTGTCCATCCAAGTGCGATGTTGAAGGCGAATGCGGTCTACAAGTTGAGCGCTCGGCGTACTCGGCCATGGGCCGCCTAGTGACTTGCGCTCGGCGTACTCGGCCATGGGCCGCCTAGTGACTTCGCTGTTCAATGAGCGCCTATCCACACCGGCGCGCTCTACAGGATGACATCCACATCTCCGATCATGCATTCCCCACCTTAGAGAGAGAGAGAGCGATTCAGCGCCTCCCCTATAGGGAGGAGCCCTGGATCCCCACTTAGGCCGCACGCCTGCGCCCGTGCTTGGCATGCTGTAGGTGTCCCGCCGTCCGATGTGTGGTCGCATGAGCACATGTATAGTGGGAGATATGTATCCTAATGCTATTTTACTGAGAGACAGATGGGCCCTCGCACATTGCTACGGTCGCGGAGCGCGGAGGTCGGGCGAGTCAGAGACGAGCGGAAAGGCGGGATCGGATTTGAGGACGCGCTTGACCTCGGAGAGGCTCGCGGTAGTGGGGAGACTCGCAGGAGAGGCGACGGGGAGGAGCCAGGAGGCAATCGCGTGGCGATACAGTGAAGTGGGCGCGAGGATATAAAGGTAAGGTGGTGGGCGATCGTATGCTAGGCGTCCGTCACAGGTGCGCGCCGAAGCTCGTAATCAGACAGGCGGAGCAGGCCATAACACACATCATGAACCTGTGCATAGTCAGCTCAGCCAGTAATGCTACATATTTGATCCATCTTGCGATGGTTTGCATATCACCCTCCCGGGACTTAGTAGCTAGCGTTCACCGGCGGTAAATGTGTGTGTGCGCAGTCCGCAGCACCTCCAGTATGGCCTCCTCTTCGCCGACCCATTGTTTGCAAAAGATGGCGCTCTGTCTCAACCCGGATTACACCAAGCCACTCTAAACATGCTTTAGTTCGTCCCCTTTTAGAAGTTCCAGCCTCACTTGCGCAATGTACAGTTGCACTAGCCACTCGTGCTCCTGCTGTATATATACTCGACCCCACCTTCGTGCTAACTGTGAGTCTACAGGCGAGATGTCGTTGCCGCTAGCATGAGGCTACTGTCTCAACGCCAGGTTCTTAACCAAGCGTGTTTTTGTGCCCGTTAGGTTGAAACGTATCGAATGCCATTCGCACTGATGTATGTCCTACAATCAGGGCGTGGAATAAATTTTCACCCAGGGCTGCACACCAATCAGGCTCTCCCCGCGCTACACCGACGAGTTCATAAAGTTGTATCCTACAGCACCTCGCTCAGTCATCTCTCCCCCACTCTCTGCGAATCCCCGCCATGTCTTACCCTGACGAATACTTGCCCCCTTGGACCACCGGACTTGGCGGACTCGTTGCTCGAGCCTATCGAATGCTACTCGACGATCCTACTCCGGAGGCGGTCGACGCGTTCATCCGCCTCATGCTCGCTGGGCGTGTGGAAATCGACGGCGTCCTTCACCGTGTCATCCTCAATGAGATGAAGAACGTTGTCGAGCACACGGACGAGGACATCACCCTCAACGGCGACTTTGATTCCATGCTTGGTTTCAGCAGTTCCATCGACGTCAATTGTGCGATCAACGTTTCCCCCGTTCCTTTAGTCAATCGCACGCTGCGCAAGAGCGTGCATGTGAAGGTGCACTACAAAGACCGAGCGGTGAGCAGCACTTTCGGCAATGTGCGCCGCAGACTTTAGGACCATTCTAACATCTTACAGGGCAATTGGGCGACAGGGGATCCTCATCTCATGGCCAACTTCTGCTTGGCGACTGCTTTGGATCGCTGTCAGATCCGTGTCCTTCTGCCCAACCGGGAGTGTCGCAACGGGAACGTGGAGCTCTCGATGGAGGACCTCGCCAGCATCTACAACAACGCCGTAAGACCCGCGGTCGTACATGCAGTTCCGGAGCACGCTGCCCACTGGCCCGCTACTTTTGAGATGGCTCTGAACCTCGTTCGCGGACGCGGCAACGTTCTGCACGGCCATTCAGTCGGTATACCTGCGGATTCCCTTCCGCTGTTCTCCGCGAAGCTCCGAGAATTGCTCTCCCAGAGCGGCCCGTCTGGATGGGCGATCTTCATGATCGAACTTCGGGGCACAAAGGAAGGGAATCCTTTCAACTTCACGGACCAATATGATCGTCAGGCGGCGTTCTACAAATTCACGGAGAGCTTCATCCTGCCGGAGGATGACGCCGGGGCCGACGCCGACGACGACATGCCGCTTGACGCCCGAGCTCGGCCGCAGTGGTACGTGGATGTTGCTGTGGAACTGTCTAGGCCGGGGCACGTTCTTCAGTGGCATCGCTCTCAGCACCCCGATATCCTCCGATATCTATTTCCCTCCATGGATGAAGACCGGGCGAAGAAGGTTGTCAAGTTCAACAGCTTCTACGTCGACGTAAACGCCCACATACACCGACTGGCTGGGTTCCGCTACCAGCCCCGCTCGCCTGTCAACAACATCGTCTATGCCAACATCTACACCACAGACAAGACGGTCATTTATCAGTTGCATCCTGGTGTTTTCAGACCACGAACCGGGGAGGATCTGCTGCCGCGCAAGATCAACGCTTTGGACCAAGACATGGACTCGATCTCTGCTCAGTTCCACTCGGCTGCAGGCTTAACGCCGGCTCCGGAGGACGCCGAAGTGCATTCCGATGACAGCGACGAAGACCGGCCTGTGCGCATGATGCCTTCGCAAGACGGGGCGGCTCGGGCAGAGGTACGGGTGCGGGTGTCGGCGTTCTCGAGTGTGTTGAGGGTGTTCACACAGCAAGAGCTCGAGAACTTCGTCGTTACGTATAGGAACAATGAGTGGTGGTGAGTGCCGTGCGACAGTGGTTAAATGACTGATTCGAACGTCCTCACCAGGCTCTGGAAGTTCTTGCGTACCTGCGCGCTGCGGTACATCGTCACAGCGTACAAGAAATATTCGGAGGAAGTCCGAATCACCCTTCCATCATTGGCACTCGGAGCGGCAACGGTCTACATGCTTAACGCCTTGTTCCGTCGTCCACAGAGCTACAACTACCAGCGGATCTTGGACTCAACGTGCGCCATGAAGATCGCAAAAAACACCAGGATGCGGGCACAAGACACATTCCGCCTTCACGGGGATGCGGAATTCGTGCCTATCGGGGATCGTCAGGGAGCGTACTTTCTTTGCGATGTGGTCCGGAACCGCATCGGTGATTGGTGGCGCATCCCCGCGAGCCTGGAGCTGGACCACGTACCGGACAGCCGCATCCTGGCAGGCTTGTACCGGAAGGGTAACATTGAGGATTTGCACCTTGCGATGGGCGTCGCTTCCCGCCGACACGCCAAGCAGCCGAGGAATGAGCACCGACGACAGTGGGTCAGGGACATCACCGCATCCATCATGGATGTCAACCCGACCGCGGTGACGGACTTGGGTTTCGACCTCCAGGGCCAAGGAGTGGAGATGCGCCGTATTGTAGCTCAAGAAGCTGAGCCGGATGAGGACGAGGAGGACTATGAGACTCACATCTTTGATCCCCAGACACCCGTCGACGATGCTCTGGCGTATATCTGGGCGCAGTGGGCCTTCGACATGTTCATGCACGTGCCGAACCAGAAGTCGAAGCGGCTGTCGTCTTGGATTACCATGTCCGCTGGCGACCGCATTCATGCCACGGACGCCATCTTCCGCCAATCCATCATTCCCGTCAAGGTCGCTCATCTCCGGCACGCACAACCTGATTTCTGGGAGATGTCCTTCAAGCGGCTGTTCCCCCCTAAGGAAGAGCCTCGTGGAGAGCTCGGTCAATCACTTTCCACTTGCCGCTACTTCGTGCTCTGGGAGCGACTCATGCGCTCCCTGTCGACTCGTCACGCCAAGAAGGTCCGGAACACGCTCTACCAGGTCTTCAAGCGCTTGCACTGGATTCCTCATACAGGCTCGGATCGCATCTGGTCTTCGAGGACCCCCACGTCTGCCGGCTGGGGATGTCTCCCTGCCAGGAATGGCACGAAGTACCAAGTTGGGGTATGGATCGCGGTGAACGTCATGCGTGTTCCTGACATGGGGGTTCTCCGATTGGCCGATGATCCCACACAGGATGAAGACCCTCAAGGACTCGACCCAGAGGACGTTGGCCCAGCGGTCGAGAGCGACGAAGAAGACATTGCGCCGCGTGTCCCGCCACGTGCCAGCCCGGCACCGTCCAACTTTGAGCTGCCTCCGAATGCAGATCACGCTCTCCCAGACGCAAACCTGCAGCCACTGGACCAGGACCTGGATTCCGATGGTGAGCCGTTACCTAACGGCGAGGAAGAGTTTGAGCCACGGCTATCGCCGATCGACTTTGAAGAGCCACCATCCGGGCCCATCCGTGCCATGCCATCAACGTACGACTCTGACGAGGAAATGGAGTTTGAGCCACCATCAGGCTCTGTTCCTCCGTGCGTCCGATTTATCTCTACCTTTCAATGTCACTAAGTTCTTCGATTTATAGGAGACTCTTGTCTCGTTCTGGGGGTGGTGCCTCTGACGCCACAGGGCCATCGCACGGGATGACGCACTCTGGCCAGGACCGCGCTCCCGACCGCGCGCCCGGTCGCCACAGTTCATCGGCACGTGCCTCCTTGCCCGCCCGCACGGCCCAGGTCCAAGACCGCGCTCCCAGTCGCCAGAGCTCCTCGGCACGTGCCTCCTTGCCCGCCCGCGCGGCCCAGGTCCAAGACCGCGCTCCCAGTCGCCAGAGCTCCTCGGCACGTGCCTCCTTGCCCGCCCGCGCGGCCCAGGTCCAAGACCGCGCTCCCAGTCGCCACAGTTCATCGGCACGTGCCTCCTTGCCCGCCCGCGCGGCCCAGGTCCAAGACCGCGCTCCCAGTCGCCAGAGCTCCTCGGCACGTACCTCCTTGCCTGCGCCCGTCGCACAGGTCCAAGACCGCGCCCAAGGTTACCAATCCTCATTGTCGCATGCTCCATTTCTTGCACGCTCCGCCACAGTCCATGACCGCGCCTTGGCTCCCAACACCTCGATATCACGTGCATCCATGCCCCCGCACGCCGCCGAGGTCCAGGGCCGCGCCCCCACTAGCGGGAGGTCTTTATCAGAGAGGGTGTTCGGCATCCAGGACCGCGCCCCCACTCCCAACGCCTCGTTGTCACGTGCGTCCTTTCCCCCCCGCGCCGCCGAGGTCCAGGGCTGCGCCCCCACTAGCGGGAGGTCTTTGTCAGAGAGGGTGTTCGGCATCCAGGACCGCGCCCCCACTCCCAACACCTCGTTGTCACGTGCGTCCTTTCCCCCCCGCGCCGCCGAGGTCCAGGACCACAGTTTACTTGCTTTGATACGCCGTCTTCCACCCACCGGGCCGCCTATTCATAGGAGCCACCATGACCCACGATCAGGTGTGCAGACAGGGTGTACCTTCGCTTTCCGTGACTCTGACGTAGCCACAGGTTTCGCCCAGCATGGGGAGGATGGTTCGGTGCGGATGCATTCGCCGCCATCTCCTGGGACGCCGATACAGTTCCTCGATTTGCGACGTATTGAGGAGGCCCGATACGCACATTCTGGGAGTCCAAAGACACAAGTTGTGGCTGTTCAGCTACCGGAACCCTCCCGTGGTCCTCGCCAAAAACGGGCTTTGTCAACGGTGAATGAACCCCCTCGAAAAAGGGCTGCAGTGGAAGTACGTTGCCAATGTTGATCAGGTTCCCATTCTGTATTTTGACACACACTCTAGGTAGCGCAGTCATCTCATGAACGCATCACCGCTCACAACCATGGACACGCTGCCGTTTCTGCCGGGGGGTTGCTGACGCCAGAGCACACCCAAGCCACCGGTTCCAGTCAAGGCCGTCCATCCTCCCATTTCATAGCGGCACATTCGCACATGAACACCTCGGCGCCTCAGAGGTATCCCTTGTCACCACCATGCACACAGGTCTTTCCAATGGAGCCCATATCTGCTGAGGTAAATCGTCGACGAAGACAGGCAACGATTCCCGTGTTCAAAACGAGATCAAGCTCCCCACCGGACATGGGTGTCCGTGATGTCAGGACTTCATCCCAACGTTCGCTGGTCGACGTCAAACGGGAATCAATCAGCATCAAGAGGGAGTCAGTTTCCAGCGATTCCGCATGGCACTCCATGAACATCAAGCGGGAGTCCATTTCCGTCGACCTCGGTGGAGACGAACACGAATCCGCCAGTGGGCTCACTAGCCGCCTGGGAGCCGTTCGTCTTTCGTCGGCATCGCATGGCAGCGCTGCGAGCACCGAGATCAGTGTGCCATTGGCACGGGTTGTTGCTCAGCGGAGGCAGGGTTCTGCTAATTCGATGGCGGGCCCATCGACACACAGAGAAGCTCTGTCGCCTCCGAAAGACACGTTTGTGTTAAAGTTCAGGACCCCGATGACAGCGGAGCAATTCAAGCCTGCCGAAGAAACGCTTCCTCCTGATGAAGCACCCATGAGCGAGGAAGAGTTCTGAGCGCAGGGAGGCAGGGCAGGGAGGTTTTGCAGAAAGAAGCGGTGGTGCTTGAGGTTTCTCGCGTTTTCTGTGCGGCTTTGCAGACCCTTCCGCGCGTTCGGATGATTAGTCGTTTGGATGATTAGTAGAGGAGCCCTGGGGTTGTAACTTGTTAGCAGTTGGTTAGCTCGTGCGGTCTTTTGCTCGCTTAGTTGTACCCTATCTATTGTAGATCAATTTGGCTGCCCTTCAGAGTGCGAAATGGAGATGCATTGCGCACGTTGGAACTCCACATGCTCAGAGGCCAATGTTACTCCAATGAAACCTCTTTGGCCATTTATGAACCTGTACAAACGTCGACACCACCCAGTTGGATGTAGTGAGCGTGCTCTGCTCTGTAAGATGTAGGCAGCAGATTCCATTTGAAAGCTGTAGCATCTGGGTTTCACATGGATTGGTCAGTTTATGAAGAGTGTCCTGAGGCCCAACAGAATAACGGGACTCTGGGCCGGTGTGTACTGTGATCAGCACCGCCATCATCATTGCTTATTCATATTATTGAAGTCGGGAGGGCGCGGGGCAAACCGTGCGCGATCCCCGCGCGGGGCTGCGGTGCGCGCTTAGGGCGCGCGCGCGCGGCCACGACCGATATGTTCGATCGACCTCGGACTCTCGTTTCCCCGCGTCGTCGTCATCTGTTTGCTAATGTTTCTATTGTACTTGTACGTGCCCGCGCCCCGACGGCCACCTCAGTCCTCGACTACGAGACTGAGGTGAGCCTACCATACGTTCTTCCTGATTCCGGGCCTCGGGCTGATCTGTAACACCAGATCCATTCAATAGGTACCTACTAATATATCTAGTCCTCGACTACGAGACTGAGATCCATTCAATACATATTGCAGACGCGGCCACGGCGGTGCGGACATGCTCGAGCTCCTCAACGCGGAGACTCGTATGGCTCTGCGCGCTGGTCTAGTACACACCGCTGTCATGTGGAGCCGATCAGAGCACTTGTGCTGTGTCAGGAAGCGCCCGAGTATGCAGTGCTGCACGGCGGCGATGCACGCCACGTTCGCGGCGTTGAATCTGCCTTTGCAGGTGAGTATTTAACGCTACCCATCCAGAGCCCTACCTTCGCGCAGCAGTGAGGTTTGGCCCAAATCGCTATTCATTCACCCTGTAGGTTCAACAGTTCTGGGTCTCATGCACGCCCCGAAACAGGGAAAGACGGACATCAGTCACTCCCTAACCTGAGGGCGGGTGCTTTTCGCTGCGGGGCTATATTTGCAGGAGGCATCCCTGCTCTGATGGCTGCCAGATCTGCACATCTGAAGCACGATGGTGCCGCGTGGAGTTGACAAGTGAGATAAGCGTAATTAATGAGGCTGCGCGGCTGCTGAGAGGCGTGCTCTTTCGGATGGGCGTCCAAATCCCGGTAATTCTGGTATATAAGCAACGGTTGGACGTGCGCTGTCCGCCGCCCCACTCCTCTCCTCGCTTTCGCCTTACCGTCATGTCAGACTACTCCCCCACTACTAGCGAGAAGCTGAAGCACTTGGAAAACCACTCCATTGTTTCAAAGAGCGGTGCTGGCCATTGGGATTTGCAGGATTGTGTTATGACGTTTCTAGTCGAGGTGCGTAGGTCCGCTTACTGCCCCAAGGCGCAGGGAAACTAATGCGCGGCCGGGACGCAGTGCGACCGCTGCGTTGACGCTCCGGACATCAGCAGCTGCGAGGGACACGATATGCCTTGTGACGATTGCAAGGCCTCCAACGAGGGAGGCTGCACCCTCTACGGTGTACGGATGGATGGAATCCTACAGGGTGCGCACTTGGACAGCCACACAAAGGATGAAAGAGAGACTGACTATTGCACGGTCACAGTCAATGGCGTCGGCGCGGTCGCGTTTTTTGATGGTGACACCTTCTCCCTCGTCAAGGACATGAAAAATTCGACTCGAGCGGTCGCCGAAGGGCTGGTCGACTTCGCACTGTCACACATGCACGCAGGCGATTGGCACCCCATCAAGGCCGGCCGTTTCAAATGTCCGTTCGAAACGGTGCCGTTGACTTTCGAGTTTCCACGCGAACACGCTCGGATGGTGGCAGCACGCGCAATCTTCGACCACCCCTGGCATACAACGCACGTCGGGTGCAAGCAGGAAGACTTTGAAGATGTCAGCCTTCCTCGAAGACGGGTCCCCAGCCCATACAATCGCCCTTCTCGAGACATTCGCCCTGGCTTTATCATGGCCTTCATGGTGGATACAGTGCTGGAGGAATTGTCAGACTCAGAGTCACCACCCTGGCAGCAGTCCCGGGCGGCTCGTAAGCGGGTCCGGTCCGGCAGCGCATTGCCAGAGGCGCCCTCGGCGAAGAAGGGATGCAATCAGCCGTCCGTCCTGTCAACAACACCGAAGCAGCAGCGCGCGGCGACCCGTGCCTCCACCCGTTCGCGCCAATCGCCCAGCAACACGCTGCCATCCTCAGAGGCGCTGACCCAAGCGCTGCAGCAGTGGGATGCAGCCCGGAAATCGGTGATGAGCTTGGGATGTATGGTGAGAGCTGCACTCGATGCTGCTGGCATTCGAGGTGGTGCGCTCCAGGCAGTGGATGGGCTGGCTGGGTTTGGAGGTCGTGAAGATGTGTTGGCTTACTTTCGTGATGGGCAAGAAGGCTTGGCGGACGCGCTTAGGCTTCCGAATGCGAGCTCTGAGGGGGACACTGAGTGCGAGGATTAGGACGACACATCATAGCACTATGTCTCTGTAGATGAAAGCTAAAGCAGCCATTATTTCGGGTGAAGCCCAAATGCTCCCTGGAAGATGTTAATGACCTCAGTGTGGGTTCGAATCGCGCGAATATGGGCCACTGACTAGATGATGCCCGACCGCCCCCGTCCCCGCCAACACCTCGCCTGACCGATGCCTCGTGTGGTGCACCGCACCGGTCACTCACAACACCGTCCGGGTCGGACCGGGCCGTACGGTACACCATACCCAGCGAGCCCACGCCCAGATCCGCCGACATTCTCAACAACGCCCACAGCAGTCTCCCCGACCTCCCTTTTTTACAAGCTCTCAACCTGATGGGCACGGTTCGAGCGTATCACCCGCGCGCTGGCTGACAAGGGCGAGGCGTAGGTGCGCCCCTGTCGGGTGCCCCGGTCCCCACCCTCCTTTTCGCTGTGGGTCTCTGTTTCCCCGCGCCCGCCTCCTCCTTCCCGCGCACATACCCATACCCTTATATGCTGTCGCTCGATATGTCCTGTGCTAGTGGTTGAAATGATTTCTTATGGCAGTTCTCTCTGCGCTTGATGTATCGGTGTTTAGGTTAGCGGGGGTAGCAACGGAGCGGAGGCAGCACTGGAGAGGTATGGTAGCCATGGTGGCGGTGTCGGAGCGCTCGGGTATCGCGACACCTGCATAGCATACAAAATGTTCATGTGCACGCATTTATATACTCGCGCGCCCAGTCAATATCCTATACTGTATGTTGTGGAAGGTGTGCATACATTCGGGCGTGTCTGCGGAGTCTCATGTAGCGTCTAGCGCAAAGATAACTGGTTTTAGCGCTGTACCCAGCGTTATCTCGCGTTATCTGCTTATCATCTGCCTCCTCCTCCTCCTCCGTCCACGCCCCACACTTCTGCCCTGCACTCTACATACCCCTCTATTGCTCCTAAATATGGCTGCTCCCCTCCCCGTACCCGAAACCTTGATCAACAGCAGGGTGGTCTGGAAGGAACCGCCGATCTGCGACCAGCCCATCTGGTTGATTGTCCGCAAAGTAAGTTTTCTCTCGGCGTGTTCTCGTGCGTTGCTTACGACCTTTAGTGTGATGTGTGCCACCGGGGTAGGAGGGGATCCTGCATTGATGGCCCCAACCCCGGCGTTTGCACCCGGTGCCGTACGGACGGGTGTTTGCTCTGGGGCCTCCGCCGCGATGGCGCATTCATTTGTACGTGCTCCGTTGTCTCCTGCGTCTTACCCCTCCCCTCACCGCACATCATCGTACAGTACCTGGCGTCGGTTGGGTCGGCTGGTTCGCCCAGCGTTCCTTCCACATTATCGCCGACCTTCCCGACCTCGCACAGGTCGTCGCGCAGGGCGCCGCCGATTACATCCTCTCGTGGATGTCGCCGCAGGACTTCACCGCAATTCCTCAGCAAGGCGCACTCTTAGACTTCCCGTTCCCTAACATGGTGTCCTACACGGCGTACACAAGGTGGGACCGACAGGCCGCACGAAAACTCGCGGTGGACGTTGTGTTCAGAAGCCGCCCCGGGAGCTATCCAACTGCTCTTGGGGGTGATAGGACGTTTTGGCTTCAAGTTCCCACCTCGGTCGAGGACCACAACTGGTCCATGAAAGAGCATGCTCAGTCAGTTCGCCCTCCCCGCTAGTCGGCGGCCCTTGCCGCTGGTGTTGTCTCACCCCTGCGACTTGAAAATGTACCAGTGTGGTGTTGTCTCAATTTATGCATCAATACCTCGTTTGCTGCTGGTGGGGGTGAGGGCGATAGGTGACAAAGATGATGTAGGGTGGAATAGAGGCGGAGGTCGGGTGTGAGACTCTTTGGAGGTTTGTGTCACGTCACGCCCTGGCGAGTGACCTCGTGAGCAGCGCACGTAGTTTCGCGACGTCTTCCCGAGCGAGATTTGGTGTGGCGCAACGTCAAGAATGGGGAGGACGAGGGTGCGGAGAGGCAGGGCTCGGGCGACTGTCGGACGCTTGCACGTGCTAGCTGCACTCACGTTGAGCGCTTCCGACCGCGCGTGCGGAGGGCGTGTGCCCGGTGTTAGTCTATGACAGCCGAGGAAAGCACTAGAGGCAACTGTATCATAAAATAGAAATGCAATGGATATTATTGAGTCCAGGAGAGATGCCTAGAAGCCGTGCGAGGCTTGCGCTCCTCAACTGCCCAAGTAATTTCAACATGCATGATCCGCACCGTCGCGCGCGAGCGGGGAGGTCTCTCGTGGGCACGCAACCTCCACAGTTAATGTGCGTCAAGGAGCAGCACGGTTCACAAGGACGCGCACGATGCAGGCGGGTGGCAAGACCATGTACTGGCAGTGCCGGGCTTAGGAACGCGGGGTTCGGGCCGGGGGCGCTCGCTAGTCACGCGACCCGGCTAGATCACGGCCCGGCGGCTTCCAGCGGCACACTGACGTGGCTCCGCGTTTGGCAGTGCCCCTTGGTTCTGACGTTGCACCTGCCTCCTGCACAACGCGTATTATGAGTCGACCTCGGCACTGCGCGCGTCCTCCGTGCCCGTCTCTTTTTCATTCGTCTTCTGTCAGGGCCAAATAAAGGTGGGTGCTTCAGTACCTCTTTAAAGGTGAGTTCTCCAGCACCTCTTTTTGCCGCCGTGTGTGTATTCGGAGGCACGCAGCCCTCTGCACCCACGATAGGCGGATCCGTGTGCCTCGACCTGTTTGTGTGAACCCCCCGCCATGCCTGGCATCACGCTGCGATACATCGCCCATTCCGTCTGGTAAGGGGAACGCACTAATGGACTGCGGGCGCCCGCCGTCGCCCTGCCCGCTGCCGTCCATGCGTTCCGCGCTGTGTACTCGTTGCCCCGCCGCCCCGTCTTGTTTCCCCCGTCCATTTCCCTTGTCCTATAATGTGTGCTTCAACTCCGCCTACCACACTGAGGATGTCTGACTGCACACCCTCGGGTCTGAGAACCTAGGCCACGGCCCCACACCTACACGCTCTCGCCCTGGTTGACTGGATAGTTTGAGAAGGTGACCGCCTGCTAGCGCCTCAACCTTCAGCGCTGGAGCCACGTTGGTCATTGTGTGTGCGTGTGTGTGTGCGTATGAGAGACAGAGTGTGTGAGAGAGGGTGTGAGAGAGGGTGTAACCTGAAAATAGGTGTGGAAGTGTCGCTGCAGCTGATGTGATGCCAAATGAGGGTGCACTGAGAGCGTCGGGGCCATTCATACAAATGTGCCGTTGCTGGAAGTTGCGACTACGCTAGCGCCTGCACGCCGCCCGTCCCTCATCCATTCTAACACGCGCACCCATCACGATCCGTCCATGAGTACGCCAGGATCTACCTGTTAGCACCCCGGTCAAGATGGGACGCTCACGAACGGACCGTGGTGTTCAATGGGCGCGCTCGATCTCCACCATCCACAGCACGCCGGTTGCATTCTAAGATATCGCTATAATACGGCCAACTGTCTCCAGTGCCTTCCTTTGGGGTCAAATTCAGAATCGTTGCTTAGGAACCAGGTGTGCCCTCTCTGCACGTCGTCGAGGTTCGTGCGCCGGAATTCTCCTGCTTTGCGATTTGTTTTGCTCGCTTCTGGCAGCTTCACGGCGTCGGATTTTAGGAGGTGTGGACCAATGGCACTGCGGAGATTCAGGGCGGCTCCGAGATGCCGTCAGGAAGCATTGGGTGTGACGTCATCACGCTTATTTCACGTGGTCGGGTTTGATTGACGATGCCAGCTCATTGCTACACGTTTTCCACGCATTTTTCCATTGTATCTGCACCTCAATACCCTGCACCAATATGAGTGACAACCGATCTACAGGTCACAACATAGGCATGTCCCCTGATCACGCTGCTCGGCTTCAAGCTGAATTGTAATCTCCTCAGCCTACAGACTGCGATCGCGCGATGTTATTTCCCTGGATTACGACTTTGGAGCCGGATTGAGGGCAGCTGCTTTGCGAGGTGCTGTCGCTGTGGATGCTGAGGAGCTCGAGATTGAGGTGCGTGCGTGCTGTGTTCTTGCTCCCCATCTAGCTATAGGATGGCTCCAGGGTCGTGCTCGACACGCCAAATCCGCATCTGCTGCCACAATACCGCCGTCTCTCTATGCCTGTGTGAAACGACTGTGAGCGCACATTTATCTCTGCCGTAAATCAGGGCCTTCATACAGTGTCGAAACTAGTTCCAAGGGCGAATCCCTCATCACACCGGAGTCTCAGGAACCAACTGCTGCCGCCAATCCTGTTGCGTACGTACGTCTTGCACTGCTACACTTCCAGCGGCATAATTCTGTCCAAGCAGAAAGCACGCTGGCTCCAGTCGGCGCCGTGCCCTGAAGCGTCGACTCGGCGCCTCGAGTGAAGCTCCAGAACGACGACCACTGCCGCCTGCTTCAGTGGCCGACATAGCAGAGTCCACTAGGTCTGTTCGCACAGACTTCCACCTGGCTAGTGCACAGTTAGGTTACGATAAGACTGTGACCAAGCCCGGCTATATTGGGAGCCGCAATGCTGAGTCTGAAGATGTCCGAACAAAGCGTTGGCAGATTGACGATTTGCGCGCGGCGTTCCCACACTTTAGGTACATCTCTTGGGATGGAGAGTATGTCGCTCGTCTTCTATATCTTTCCTCGTCTGACACTAGTCCATGGCAGTGAAACCATTGCGCTCACTGATAAGAACGGTGTCATCATGGCTGTCTTTGCCCGTCGCCCACAGGATCCCGACTGGATGTCCAAGGTTGTACCATCAGCGACCGAGCTTTTTGAAGTCCTCGAGAAGATCATGTCGATACGCTTGGGAAACACCTCCGTCGAGCATCGCCGCGGTCAATACCCTCAATTTACGCTGGGAACGACGTTTGGAGGCGGCCAGCAGGTGCGTCATGAATTACATTCGACCTATGATCCCGGCTAATTTCATCCTTAGGGCCCTCAGCCTTTTGCCACCCACGACCTCGATGATCCCGTGATCGAAATGATACTTGACAGCGTTGTGCTTCATCGCCTCTCAGGAAATGCTGGCAGTAAGTGCTCACGTCACAAGACGATTGTCTACCTTCGTTGATGACTGTGTGCATAAGGGGTTTTCCAGACCTTTGCACCTGACCTGCATGGTCACTACTGCTCAATGCTACACGACCTACACAAATCGAAACCCGACCTCCCTCACCCATGGAAGGCATCCCCGTTCTCCGCGGCCACCCTGAACGTTGGCAGACAAACTATAACATACCGTCATCGCGACTTCCAGAATCTCGCCTACGGCTGGTGTTCGCTGTATGCGTTCGGCAAGTTTGACCACAAGAGAGGCGGCCACCTCATTCTATGGGATCTTGGAGTTATCGTCGAAATCCCACCCGGGTGCCTCGCGCTTCTCCCGTCTGCTGTTTTAGAGCATTCGAACACCACGATTGGCAAAGATGAGACCCGTCACTCGTTCACAGAGTTCACTTCTGGCCACCTCTTCCGCTGGGTCGACAACAAATGTCGCACCGACGTCCAGATGGAAAAAGATGGCGATGCCAGGTCACGGTCAGGTTCTCAGAACTGGCGCTTCGGCTTGGAGCTGTTTTCTACCTTCGAGGCCTGGTGCGCCCGCCTGTCTCAAGTTATTAGTTAGAGGTACTATGTACTAATTGCGTTTGATTTAAATTGTCATCTCGCCACACCACATTCTATGTGGCAGCATGCACGCTGAGACTGTGCCCCACCACCAGAGGGGGCGACCCACTGATGTGCACACCTTGCGGCTCGAATTGTTGCGGTCTGCTCCGCCTGTCTGACTACGAGCTTGCCTCCTCTTAGCTCCCCCCCGTTGCCTCTCCTACCCGCATCACCGGTATGCTTAGTCAGGTATACTACGTTCCCACGAATTGTACAGTACTACAAGATCCGCCGTGCTTCGCGCGGCGCCCTGCCGGGACGCGAACAGACGCACCGAACGGGTTTGCGAACACCTCACAGGCCATAATGACGCGGACGACCGGGGGAGTGGCACACCTCCCACACCTTTAGTTGGCGTGCTCCCGCACCCCGAGAGCGAACACGATCGCATTGAACACGATCGTGTGTGGCACGCGCACACTGCCGCGAAGGAAAGTCGCGCGACGAGCGTAAAAGCGTGCGCTGCTAGAAAGCGCACCCAGGTACCTCCCGGTCCGCGCGCAAATCCATGTACGGGCGTGAACTCCGACGGGTCCTCCGGAACGCTGCCGCCGCCGCGCCTCCGCCGCCGCACCCGCGCACGCGTCGCTGCCGCACCTGCGCGCGCATCCCTGGGCCACGCGCCGAACGCGAGCCAGCGCGCGAAAGGGCCATGGGTGCGCGCGCAGGTGCGGCAGCGACGCGTGCGCGGGTGCGGCGGCGGAGGCGCGGCGGCGGCAGCGTTCCGGAGGACCCGTCGGAGTTAGGTTAGGTTAGGTTAGGTTAGGTTAGGTTAGGTTAGGTTAGGTTAGGTTAGGTTAGGTTAGGTTAGGTTAGGTTAGGTTAGG